GCCAGCTATCACTACGTCTACCACATTTATTTGTACAGTTACACGTAAGACAGCATTATTTCAGCTGTACATAACAAAATGTACAGTGAAATATTGTAACCATGTACAACATTTATTTGAAAAAAACACGAGCTGAGTTTCTTGTCAATTTTTCTCATCTCGAAATTATTCCGAACTGACGGTAGATTTGACATATCATAAGAGTCTGTAATAGACTTACATGAATAAAGATATTTTGAATTTGAATTTGAATTTGTATGTATCTACATAAGAAAATATATTTTTGTATTATATTATCTTCTTGTGATTTGTCTGATTTCCGAACGAGTAGTAGAATAAAAAATATGATTATTCAAAAGATATTATATTAAGTTTATTCAAATAAAGATTATTTCTATTTCTAATTGGAAATTACAGTGCATTATGTAATATTTACAATTTAAAAAATATATGTAAAAGCGTTTTTACATACAGGTATAAAAAGTATGTTTGCAACATTGTAATATTTTAAGATTACTAGAGCTTATGCTTGCTGCTTCTGTTAACTTAAATGATTTTAATTTTCAATACTTCGACACGCAAGTTATTGCTCGTTCTTGTGATCAACTTCCTGAATGAGTGCAAGATTAAAAAAAGAGTGTTACCAGTTTAAAGAGTGTAACTTAAGGTTTATTTGATTATTAGAGCTTATACTTGCTGTTTATATTATGTTACCTTTAATTAAGATTCAATACTTCGACATGCAAGTTTTTGCTCGTTCTTGTGATCAGCTTCCCGAATGAGTGAAAGATTAAAAAAAGAGTGTTACCATTTTAAAGAGTGTAAATTAAGGTTTATTTGTAGAAAGAATTTTCCTTTCTATTCTAAGACTTATATATTATATTCAGAATATTATACCAGACTTTGTGATCACTGTGTCTTTGCTTAATGAAACTTTACATAGTATAAAATGTTGTCACTTCCGCCGTCTGTTCACTTAGATCTTTAAAACTACGCAACGGATTTTATTACAGGTTTTAGCACATATAGAGTAATTCAAGAGGATCATAATAGGTACACCTGTGTGAAGCCATGCCGGGTAGCTAGTGCCTTAAAAATCTTAAACATGCGACTACAAATGACAGGGAAGTCTAAAATCTCAACTTTTGTGCGTTCATGTTGATTCATAGACAAATATAATTTGTTTTAATGTCTTCTAAATCACTTTTAGCAGTTGTTTTACATTCAAGCAAAATTTATGGCAGCGTTAATTTTTATAAGTTATAGTTTTAATTCACATTGCCATCTATATCAATTTTATTATATACTAGCTACTCACAATCACTCTATCTATTTAAAAAAACCGCTTCAAAATCCGTTGCGTAGTTTTAAAGATTTAAGCATGCATTTTTTTTACACTTTGACATTACATTTTACATTTGGGACATTTGTTTTACACTATTTTATTTGTAATGATAATCAATTCTCGTACCTCATTCTCATTATTCTCCGTTATTACTTGGTGGTATTCTTCATTTGTTGCCGTGTATTCTTCTCTCTTATCAAAATATTCCTCTGTTTCCATCGCAACTGACGATTCTAATAGGCACTCCATTATAAAATCCTATTCTGTCACTCGGTACCACTGTTTTCTGTTCATATATTTATATCACTGTTTAGATCTACGTTAATTAACAAAGAATAGAATAGAACTTTATTGACTCGTTTCACAAAGCACAAAGCTTTCCAAAACACTGGAGTATCTATTTTACTAATCTGTTAACACTGGCCAATGATTGAAATAAGTATATTTGACGGTGTAACAAAAAGATTCAAATGGTGACGATCAAACGTCCAAATCTCAACTGAGCTGACAATCAAAAGGGATATTTTTTTAATGAAAGTCTCTCAGAAATAAAACCAGCAAATGAAACGCTGTTGCCAAATCCCCATACAATATAATTAGATGCATCGGAACACCGGGTAAACTGGGTTAATCTCTTAGTTCGCGTATAGGAGTTAGGGAACTGCCGATTTCTTGTAAACATCGAGTTCTGTTTTTGGAACTATTTTCGAAGTCAATACACTGCTTGATTATTAAAGACTAGCTGTAACCGCGACTTCGTCCGCGTGGCATTTAACTTTATTTTTCTAAAATTAAAGTAGCCTAAGTTACTTCATATTACATCAGCTACCTTCCAAAAAGAGTCCCATCAAAATCGGTCCAGCGGTTTCAGAGTTAGCCGGAACAAACAGACAGACAAAAATTATAAATGATGTTATTTTGGGTGTATACTGTATTTATATTTATATGCATGTAGTAAAAAACTGTTATTTCAATATTACAAACAGACACTCCAATTTTATTTAAATGTATAGATATATATTGTAAAATATTTTAGAATCACCGACCTCATTTGGTGGAAGCTATAAGAAAAAAGTATTTTGACCTAAAAGGCGAATTATTTTAAGAGACTTATGAAATTCACAATCATTAAGTATAGGTAGTGATAATATATTAATTAATTAATATATTTTATCACAAATAATCTGTGCTAAAGATTATATTATATATAATATTAGGTTTAAATATAAAAAAATATATGTACTAAACATCTATATTTAACTTCATGCTAAGTGAAAATTAGTATTTTGTTTAATCATTACATAGTATAAAACAAAGTTGCTGGCGCTGTCTATCCCTATGTATGCTTAAATCTTTAAAACTACGCAACGGATTTTGAAGCGGTTTTTTTTAACAGATAGAGTGATTCAAGAGGAAGGTTTATGTGTATAATATATGTACACCGGGGCAAGTAGCTAGTTAAGTTATAAAACACTTGAATATTTTGACTGAAACCTCTATCTCTGTAGATATTTTTTTAAATTTATTCCATTAGGGGAATTTATAATTAATACCCTTCTCACTTCTATCTCACTAGAGACATTTTTTCTATTATTGTAATAGGGACTTTTCTAATATATATTTTCCTAACTGATAGTAGATGTTACTTATCACACGTTAGATATGTGTGATAAGTAAAATCTACCATCAGTTACGAAAATATATATTAGAAAAGTGTGTGTTTGTATCTCTAATAAAACTGCATGAATTTAATTTGATTTGGCTAGTCCTTCAGCTGAAGAGTCATCATTCAAGTTAGACATATTTAGAATATAAAAAAATGTAAGACGAATTATAAAAGAATGTACATTGTAATATAATATAAGGAACCAAACAGTTCTGGAAACTATAGTCGCAAATTCCTAATGAATTCATGAATGGCAAACTGATTTAATTTCATGCACATCCTACCATCGTTCATCGTGCCGCATGTTCATCAAAATGTAACCAGAACTGGTCAACACTAGAATAGAACCTTGGACCTTATTTACATAAATCAATGTACACACTGGCGTACCAATTCAGTAGATTCAACAGTTCAAGGAGAAGTCTATGAACGTCGGTTCAGTTACTGGCCTCGGGCCAGAGAATTAAAAGCAATTGAAATAAGTACATGTTAATACGAGAGAGAAAACTGATAAATAACAAACATACATACATAACATACCACATAACATACATAACAGAATAGAATAGAATAGAATAGAAAGTCATTTATTCAAATAAACTTAATTTAAGCACATTTGAATAGTCATAACAATTTTTTTTATCTATATACCATCTTATCTGCCATCATAGTACTCCATCAGACTTTGAGTAGCATATAGTTTGATAGAATAGAATAAAAAAAACCGTTATGTAAATAAACTTAATTTAAGCACTTTTGAATAGTCATAACAATTTTTTTATCTATATACCATCTTATCTGCCATCATAGTACTCCATCAGACTTTGAGTAGCATATAGTATGATAGAATAGAATAAAAAAAACCGTTATGTAAATAAACTTAATTTAAGCGCTTTTGACTAGGTTAAAACATAAATTCACAATAAGATTAAATCAGTCGTAGTGATAAGAGACGGCCAGTCCCTACAAGCAGCACTCGTTCACGAGTATGACGTATGATTTATATATTTTTATGTGAAAAGTGAACCTAACTAAAAATCAGCTTTGGAAACTATGTTGAGTTGTGGTCCACATTGACTCTGTTTTGTAATGTGTGTAAATTGTTGTATGTATTTTTTTGGTCATTATTGTTGTGTCACTGGAAACCAGCGCTGAAGCAATAGCTGGGCTTGTAGCTACATCTTTTCAGCTTGTAGTGCAACATTAGTTTTTTTTTTATTTATTCGCTTTTTTATATAATACTATGTGTATGGGCGAGCAGTCTTTAGCCGCCCCGACAGTACCGGTCTGTTTATTCAGACCTCGTATACCCCTACCATGAGTAGAATTACTCTCTACATTTATTTGTAGATTTTGTTGATGTTATTCACTATTATATCTATTATTAATCATTAATAAACACTATCTAGTGTTTATTAATGATTAATAAATACATATGTTACTACTCATATTAATTTAGCTCATTAAACATTTTAGATATTTACTCCTATCTGATTAAGTTCCACTATACCTATGATTAACGTATCAATGATTAATTCTTTTAATATGTTTACTATATTTTATGTATAAACATATATTTGTAAATAAAGATTATTATTATTTATTAATTTATAAATAAATAATAATGGCCTTTTGTTTATCACGATGGTGGCAGTCGAGCATACGGCCCATATCTGTAACACCAGGGGTATCCCGCGCGTTGACGATCCTTAAGAAATCCTTTTAAGAGACCTTCGTTATAATATCATATAGCATAAAGACTTTTATTTTATATTTTCAATTCGTACCTATATATTTTATAAGTTAGTATGGTTAATTATTAACTACAGATATAAGTACATGTAATAAATACTTATAATAATGTATACATACAAGAGCCCATAGTATCGAGCGGGCCAAGTGTAGTTCCCTGAGGCACACCCCGCGTGATTGTTATTGTCGAAAGCCTCCAGTAATTCTAATTAGGATAGATACACTTACCCAACTTACAGGGAACAATTTATAACTGAGGTTAGTGAGGAACGCTTTCTTTTGTGGATCAAACATGTCAGATGGTTTGAATCCACGTTTTGTGACCAGGGCACTGTTGATGCTGGATGAACTCTTCACATCATCGTAGCTGTCCCTGTGGACAACTCTGTCGTTGATCTTGTGGATGCTGGACATCTTGTTCGAGGAGTACTGTCTCTCGCTGATGGTCATCATTGTTCTGTTTTTTTTTAATTATCACTCAATTCACTTTTGGTATTTTGTTTACTCAACGTCTGAAATAACAATGGCCTTGAATTTAGTATGTGTGATGTGTTTAATATTGTGTAATGATTGGGTAAATATGATTACTAACTGTGCTCTGCTTTTAGTAACCGCGATATCAAAATTTTACGTTGTAACCATAAATGTTATATTGTTATAGTATCTACTTCATACAGATTTACTTTTGGATTTACAACTTTACACGCATTTGGAATAACAATAGGTTCTAACGTTTTTGTTTGTGAATCAATTGATTGGAAATATATGAAATGTGGCAGGGAAATCTGGAAAATGTTGGATTTTTTCTGAAATACAAAGTACATGAACGTAGATAAAAATTCTTAAAACAATTTCATTGACCTTGGCAATATAATTGTGATGAGGACGTATGTTGCTTTGTTGAATTATTCTAAATGCACAAATCCGGCGAGTTTTTTAAGTTTTTGTATACGTTTAGGTATATGTCTGATAAAAGAACCTATTATATAATTTGCTTCAGGATATTCTGAGTGAATAGCAATTATAGTAGTGTCCTACACTAACTTCGACGGCCTCAATAGTCTATCGGTTTAGCACATAGCGTTACTTCCGATGTTCGCGGGTTCAATTCCTCACACGGCACAAACATTTATATTCATATGTATGATCGTTTGTATAGATCTTGGTGTTTTCTGTGTATAATATATATGTATTTATAAAAATATCTATGTATTTGTATCAGTTGTCTAGTATACATAACAGAAGCTTTAGCAAGCTTAAGTTGGATCTAGATGGCGCTGTGTGAATTGTTCTGAGATTATTATTACTAACTAGATCTACACACATTAAACAATGAATCTATTTTTATTAAAGACTTATACAGAAAAACACATGAAGAAGTCATAAAGAAAAACGTTGATTTACACTGCGAACATACGTAAATTGTATGTGGAGGAAAATGAAGGTCATGACAAGGTACGAGATGCGAAGTAATAGCATCAAGGTCTGTTTATGCGGAGCTGTGATTAATGTCCAATAGTAGGTTGGTAGAATAGTTTCTACTACTCTTCAAATACAAAGTATACCTTCATGAGTGACTAAAATGAATGAACAAATTTGCGTTTTAATGTAGGCAATATTGAGCTATATCGCAGTCATTTGGACTAGTTTCCATTATTATCGGTGTTTCAATCACACTTGAGTTAGTCTATATAAATTGAGTAAAGTTTTGGTGTCGATCACATTTAAATTCTGGACCTAAAGTGCTAAAGGGCGCGATGTTTTCTACTGTTCTATGCTAATATTATATAAAATAGAGAGAGAGAGAGAGAGAGAGAGAGAGAGAGAGAGAGGAAAAATATTCGAAACAGCGGATTGACCATCTCAAGGACTCTCCGTCCAATTCAAACAGGGATTGAAATTACGATGGCTTAGCCGAATTTCAGACTCCTAGAAGTACCCTAGGTGCCTTAGAGCTCAGACTAAAGTCGTATCCGTCAGGTGGGAGTCCAGTTCGGTGACGCTGTAAAGGCCAGCTACGGCTAAGAGCAGCATTCGAATATTTTGAAAAAAAGACCGTTGTATTAATTTGCGGAAATCTATCGGGTTTGAAATCCTGAGTGACATGTTTGTTTGGTTTACCACCATTAATAGTCCTAAGTTGTGATTGTAGTCGACCAATGGTCAAAATTTGAGCATATTAATTATGGTCAAATCGCCCATTTCAATTATAAGTTTGAACATTATTAATCAAAGAATTATGCGTATGTATGTCAAATTTATGATAGCGTGTGTAATGTTTTTTTTATTGATTTAATGTTTTTTTATATATTTTTAAAAAATATATAAGTTCTCTGCCGTCCTCTATATAAACTATAAGTGAACGAAATTTTATACCCTTCGTCCACGTGATTTTCTTGAAAATGTGTAGATAGTTTCGCTATAGTGATAAAAGTTGCAAAGATGTTGTCAGGTAAGTCAAACTGCATTAGGGCGAAATCGGGACGGACCTCTAATCCATTTATGAAGTCACTGTAAGTGTATTCGCTAAAAACAATTCCTGAAAACATGCGTAGGTATGAATGAAATATTTCACAATATATTACAGGTGCCAAGCATCCTTAGCATCATTGTATGTATATATAAAAATCTCTGCTCACGTTGTTTGTACGTGATAAACTCTGAAATGGCTTAACCAATTAGGCATAAAATAATTTCTTACTATCGTTAATATTATTTCTTTCTTCATTATATTATTCTAATATATTTCTTTATTTGCATATCACAATTATATCCGTTATCCTAAAGTTGACTTGAAAAAAATGTTTTCAGCAATAAGGTCACCTTATTGTGTTTATAATTAATTATAATAGTATTAATTATAGTCTAATAAACTAGAAAGATTCAACAAATGTTTGATATAAGCTATGGAAGAGTGGAGCCTCCTGGCATAGTCATCTTTATGCTTAAAATGAGTCTTCAACAACTGTAGAATGTAATTGTAACATTGTGTTACCTAAATAAAGAATTTTGAAATTTGAATTTTTTTAATTTATTTTTTGAATATATAGTTTGAATTTTAAGAATATATTAAGCAATACATCTAGTATTGCTTAATTTTTTATTTTTATAAATTTAATATTTTTTATGGAATTTGGCTGATGGCGTGTAATTTGGTTCAACTTAAGAGATATAATAGTTTTTGTCTCGATAACTTAATATTTTTTAAATTCAAATTAGAAGCTAAAAACTACGTTTGTCGTGTCACTGCCAGATTTTTTTTATTTATTATTTGCATATAAAATTAAAATATACTTCACTGATTTTACCTTTTATAATCCTATTATCATTTAATAATGGTTTAAAATTTATTCACAAAAATAGAGAGACAATAATTGCGCCCATGCAAAACAGAGCGGATTGCTAGTTTTCTAGAAAACTGAGGAATTCCATCTGAAATACTCGTTAGCGCGATGCGAAAAGGTTCAAATTCACTTAGCATTCAGTTGTTACAGAAATAATATGCTGAATTTGTGTTGCCTAGCGAACGGTCTGCTTCATTTTCATGTAATGTTTACACGATGAGAACGTTGGATGTTTGGCGCACCATTATTTTCAGTTAACGTGAAAAATTTCATTCTACATCTTTTTCCTTCACACATTTTTTAAAAATGTTTCTTTGAGTGTATAATTTCAGGGATTTATCAGATTTCTAAAATAATTGGTGTATAATATGAAGGAGGTAGTGTTAAAATGGGTGTACCACAGGGATCCATTTTAGGTCCTTTTTAATTTTTAGTTTACATATTTGACATGGTTGAAAAAATAGCAGATACAGTTCAGTTTGCCGATGTTACTTAATTAGTATATAAAGTCAATAGATATATTAAGGACATGGACGAAGCAAACAAAGCTCTCTCTTCTGTGTTAAAATGGTTTACTGCTAATAATATGCTATTAAATACAAATAAAACTAATGTGTAATAAATTTATTATTGAATGATTGAAACTCTTTATTATTTGAAATAATAAAAACACAAAAATAAACAAGACATGCAATCCAATGGAAGATAGATAGATATAAATTCATATTAGGCAATAAACCTATTGATTTTGTTGATACTGATTCTAAGGATCACATTAGACTACAATAGGGCATATATTTCTAATTTGGCGAGTCAACATAGATCTGCCTCTTATGCGGAAAGAAGAATTAGACAATTAACAAACCTAACAATGGCTGAATTTGTTTATTTTAGCTACTTCCATAGCATTAAGTCCTATAATATTTTATCTTGGAATAAAGCAACATGTTCGTGGTATGGGTTTCGGAGAGTCTCAGAGCTTTAAGGAATCAATTTCCTCACAGTTGCTTCTCATACGATTACGAAAATATCATGTAAGACAGGAAAAATATTGTTAGTTTAAAAATAATCGATTATGTAATAACAAATCGGTTTTATCTAAATACAATCAAACCACGAAATTGTTTGCTAATGCATTCCTGTATATATATAAAAAAATAGTAATAAAAACTATGTACAGACAAATAGATGAATCACGGACAGGTATGAATCATATTTGTAGAATCCTACATCTGTAAATCTTAAATATTACATTGATGTCATTTCTATACCTAGAATTATAAAGAGCATTATTCTGACTAATTGACTAATCTATGAACGTACAGACTAAACTAATAGAGTGGGGAAGGGGATTGTTAGTAATGGAGAATAGTGGCCCCATAATTGGAAGTAATTGGACATATGCGGGCGAAACCACAGTATTAACACTAGCTAGTTAAAGTGTTATTGCGATTCTTGTAAAGGGACTTTTTTAGAACTTCAGAACTGACACTTGTTATTGCGAAATATACATATAAAACTACCTAGTTAAAGCAAATCTTATTACAATTCTTGTAAAGTGACATTTTGAACGTTAGAACTGACAATTGTTATTGTGAAATCTATATATATTAACAATGTAAACATGTATTTATTACAGGACGCACCAAATGCATACTTTAGTTTATCTAGTACAAGTATTTGAACGTACGAGCGAAGCCGCAGGTGTTTGTTAGTGTAATTACTACCATGTATTTCAGCTCATTGAGTAATTTTTTTATGTTATTTTCAATATTAATATTCTATATCACACAATTTAGGCCCATACAAACAAATGACTCCCGTATGTTGTTCTTTTGCCTAATTTATTTAAAAAAATAAACACTTTTTTAATTTCGACCACTGTATTTGGAGCACTCGATAAATTACGCGATAATAAACTTTATTATAATGTAGCGTAAGGACCGTATTCGAATGTGTTTCCCGTGTGAGATGAATACTCGTCGCGAGTTGATTTGGTACTAACGAAAATAAGTTTTGAACTGTCTTGCATAATACGCAGAAAAGCTCGTAGTGTAGGGTGACTGTGATTTGTGAAGTTTCCCGTTTTTCTAACTTTCTTTTTATCACGACGAAAAACGTTTTTTTTATACTACTATGGTGGCAAACAAGCCTACGGCCCATCTGATGGTAAATGGTTATCATAGCCTATGGACGCCTGAAACACCAGGTGTATCACGTGCGTGTTGCCAATACTTAAGAAACATTATATATTAAGGTTTCTTAAGGGTCGGTAGGAATCGGCTTCTTGCAAGCAAGCATTTCATTCCACGTAAAAACACTTCTTTTTTTATATATATATAGCGCATTGGACAAGCGAGCTTGCGGCTCACCCGATGGTAAGTGATTACCGCCGCCGATGAGCACACGCAACAGCAATTGCAAGTGCGTTGCCGGCCTTTTATAAATGGATAGGGGAAGGAATTATGAAAGCGATTGGAGGGAGGAGAATGGACCTCGCCTCACCTTGCGAAACGTGAAAACATTTAAATTTTTTTTTGTACACTTTTTATTCATATAACGTTTTTTTCTTTTTCAGGACAATTCACACAGCGCCATATAGACCCAAGTTAAGCTAGCTAAAGCTTGTGTTATGGGTACTAGTTAACTGATACAAATACATAGATATTTTTTTATGTAAGTATATACATATTATACATAGAAAACACCTAGACCGATACAAACAATCATACTCATGAATACAAATGTTTGTGCCGTGCGAGGTATCGAGCCCGCGACCATCGGAAATAAGATGGTGCGCTAAACCGCTAGATCACCGAGGCCGTCGATATATATATCGGTTTTGAACGTTAAATGTTTGTATTATAATTTTTCCCTACCGTCCAGTTCAGTATACTGATTCAATTGAGAAGAACTGGTTCGAAATTCAATTAATTTACTTTTTTTTAAAGCCAGTTTATTTACAATGTATATTTATATAGGTGTCTATGTTTAACATTAAATGAAAATCCCGTGCATGAACAACTATTGCCATGCACGCTCGTCATTCAAATATTCGTTTAGTCAGTAATATACTTTGCTTAGTAAATTTGATTTAACAGATGTTTTGAATTTATTTAATGGTAATTAATTTTTTTTTATATCTAATCATTTGTATCTAATATCTTGTCATGGTTATCCCGTAATTTCATAAAGTAGGGTGACAGCAGTTGGCGCGACCAACGCGCAACTATTTCTGTCCCGCGCGCGCCCGCTCCGTTCTTTCATCAGTAAGTCTGCAACCAACAAATGGCTATTTATTTACAATACAACCAGACTACGTTGTCTATCTATCTATTTATCTATCTTCACGGCAAGGCATATATTACCGAGTGGACAGAAAGAACCAATTATGTACTTACCATTACTCGGTAGCTATACAATTATGAAATGCAAAGATTAATAATGGAGAATAGAAAAAAAAGCAACAATTGTCTCCAAAATCACTACCTCTAAATCAGACCTTTTGTGTCGTAGACCCCTTGCCATATTTTACGTTTTTGGGTAGATCCCCCATTCCTACCTGATATTGATTTTTTGTAAATTTCTAACTGTAATAAAATGTAGTGTTAAAAACAAAGTAAAAACAACAAGATGACAGCTGTCCTAAACCCCTTGCAGTTTGTCAAATTAAAATTCAAATTTAAAAATCATTTATTCATGTAGGACATTTTAGCCGCTTATGAACGTCAAGTTTTATATTATAATTTTTTTCCCCTACCGTCCTCATAGACCTTGTCATAGACCTCTGGGGGTCAATATAGACCACTTTGGGAATCACACTCAATCTAAATTGCTATTATATTATGTAAGATGGACCTCCACATGTGTAGTGTCCGGACCGTCCGGACACCTTGTGAATAAAATACAATTTCAAAATCAAATAGCCTTTTTATATTTCTAAAAAAACACACCATTTTAATTGTTTTACAAAACCCCTAATTTACTTGTTCTTCCATAGATTTTTATTTTTTTTATTTTTCTCTTTTTTTTCTTACCATAGACAAATTACTTGTCTAATAAATGTAGTAAAAATACTGTTTTAAAAAAAAACAATTGTGTTCTTGCCAGTTCTTCTCAATTGAATCTATAGACTGAACAGAACGGTAGGGCAAAAACTATTATACAAAATATTTGACGTTCATAAGCGAGTAAAATGTCCTACAGGCATAAATGATTCTTGAGTTTAAATTTAAATAACTTCTGATAAATCGGCACTTTCAAATGAATGCATTATAGAATTATCATGTGTAGAACTAGAGAAACACATAATTATATGTGTGTATAGGCCCAACTCAGACTATGAAAAATTTGAGTCTACCATGGAAGATGTACTGAAGTTAGCATTCAAAAGAACAAATTTATTTTGGTATGGGTATAACGATAATATAGATCTTCTTGTTGATAGTACTATAAGTAATAAAATTAGAAACCTTTTTAAAAGTTTTGATCTGGATCATATTTTCTTTGAACCTACTAGGATTACATCCACTACGGCAAATGTATTGATAATATATATTGTATTATTTTAAATATATTATAAATAGATTGCCGTCAGACCATTGTGGACAAATAGTAACATTCGCATGTAATGAAAAAAACGAGATTATGTATAAGTTCTACAGACCAACAACAGCATTTAAATTACAGAATTTTAAAAACAGATTAAATGGAAGTTTACATAATTGATAATATTGATCCAAATATATCATATATTCGTTTTTTCAATATAATAAAAAATCATTTTGATAAAAATTTTACAGTAAAGAAACTTAAAGTCAATAAAAACTAATGGTCAACATTAGGTATCAATATAAATATCAATTATATGATATTAATCATATTTGCGTGATCCTATATAAATAATCAAAAATTATTCATTATAAAAAAGTATGTAAAGTTGGAAGTTTATGAATAAAATTAAGTTTTCTAATAAAATAAAAACTACCTGGAATATAATAAATACAAACAGGTTTTTCAGAATATGAGTTAAAAGCAGAAAATGGCGTTATTATGAAATAATGAATACGCTCAAACTTTTGATAATTTCTTTTCAACAATACAAAGCTACGGAAAATAACATTTTTTGACATTATTAAAAAATTTGTTCATGTCTTTTCATCATATCAGTTGCTCGTTTGATAAAGACGTTCAACGCTCTCAATCTAAAAGGAACTGAGGATATCTGTTGTCAGACAGAGTTGAAAACTGTAATAAGTGAAGTTGCTTCACATTTAACTGAAATATTTAATATGAGCATCAAGGTATTTTTCCAGATCTAATGAAAGTGAGTAAAATAATACCGCTATTTAAATCTGTGACAAAGACAATATATCAAATTTTAGACCTATCTCAATTTTACCAGTATTTAGTAAGATTTTTGAAAAGATAAAATACACATGATATATATTTGGATATGATACATGCAGGCATTAACTTAATACAAAGTATTTTCGTGCCTGGGAAGATTCATCTCTCTAAAGCGTTTGATTGCGTTGACCATAGGATATTATTACGCAAACTAGATTATGGAATTAGAGAAAAATCCTCAGAACTCATTGGATCATATTTGCGCGATAGAATTCAAGTGGTAGACATTAAAGGAAGCAAGTCCAAGGGGTCATTTATAAAAATGGGTGTACCTGCTACCATTTCTTTTTCTTGTTTATATAAATGACTTAGTTTCAAAACATACTTGACATAGTATTGTTTGCTGATGACATCACTTATTTTCAAAGTGAAAAGAAATACAAAGGATTTTAATAATATAAATATTGCTCTTGAGGATGTTCTAAACTGGTTTACATCAAATAATCTAGCGCTTAATTCAATGAAAACAAAATGTGTTAAATTCTCTTTACCAAATGTAAAACAAGTAACGACAACTGTTAGTATGAATCATCATGTTTTGGACTTTGTTGATGAGACTTCGTTTCTTGGTATTGTTATAGATAATAAATTGCAGTCATTAATATTCACACTAGCCAAAAGACTAAGCTCGGCTGCTTTTGCTATCAGAAAAATTAGACAGTTGACTGATACTGCAACAGCGAAACTAGTGTATTTTAGTTACTTCCATAGTATAATGTCGTCGATATTGTGGGGAAGAGCGGCTGATGTAGAATCAATTTTTATATTACAAAAAAGAGCAATTCGTTCAATATATAATTTACCGTGTCGCGAATCTCTTAGAGAACGCTTTAAAGAAACAGGTATTCTTACTGTTCCCTCTCAATATATATATGAAAATATTATGTATGTACGCAAAAACTTAAATTTATTTCCAAAAAATAGTCACTTACACGCTTTCTAAAAATAAAATAAAAATGCCTAGTTATCGTCTCAAAAAAGTAAGTACATCTTTCATGGGACATTGTATACGTTTGTATAATAAATTGCCAGATAGTGTTTCAAATTTAAGTGACGGCAAATTTATACATGTAAAAAAAACACTTTGCTCTAAAGCTTATTATAAAATAAACGACTACTTAAATGACTACAATGTGTGGACTTAATTACAATTTTAACTTTTGTTATGAGGCATATAATTTTTCCCACTGACCTGGACAATGTAATAACAATAAAGCAACTTATAAATTTTGTAATGACATATTGTAAATTAAATAATGTAGACAAAACTGTGATCGGTACAGCCTATGCTGTAAATAATATAATTGACGTTGTGGAATAACCTGAAACAAACATGCTCGCTGTAAAGTTCAAACTTGTGGCGGCATGTTGGGCCGGGTCGATATGGTTGAGTACAATGATGATGTCATACTCGTGAACGGGTGCTGCTTGTGGGGACTGGTCTGTTCAGGTTGTGAACACTGATTAAATTTTTTGTTCTTTGCGATAGCATATGCTGGTGGTCACTCTATTCTCCCAAATTTGAATTTTAATAACTGTATTTATCATAAACATGTTCCACTATTATTTGAAAAAAATT